GGGGTAAGCTGACAATATAATGGGAAGGCGATGTCATCGAATAGATTGGTCAGAACTAGACAGGGTCACAACCTTGGTAAGGGCCATGGCAGATGAGTTCAGAGGGACAGCTTGGGTGACCAGACAAAAAAAAAAAAGGCGGGACCATTCATGAGAACTACAGGCCCGTTCATTTGTCCGGGGCACGGGAACAATCAACCCCAGGGGGCATTAATACAAGGAATGTTAACTGAAAGGTGGCCAGAAAACATGAAGAAAGAAATGAATGTCGAAAGGCATGAAGAACGAAATAAATGTCGCAGGTATGGTATAGAGACAAATTCCACAAGGCTCTAGAGAGCAGTGGTGTTTTCACTGTCTTCAAGATTACAAATTAATGATATATTTTTAGTAGAAGTTTTACGGCGCTCGCACCTGCATAAGGTCATATGCGCGCCAGAATATTAGAGGTGTTACAAGAGAGTAACAAACATAAAAAAGAAGAAGGAGAGATAACGACAATAGATGTTTGATAGGAAAGAAGAAGCAAACCACACCAGAGCACCTGTCAACCACCCACAATTAACATTTTACGCCCCATCTACACAATTTAGACGGTGTAGGATGCCAGCTGCTTCGACCATGCCAGTTGGGTTCAATCCGGGCTGATTGCAATATAACACTCGACCGACAGAATAGCGTAAGCGAGAATTGAAGTCGAATCTTTTGCTTGCGCCGGCCACGAACATTACCATTACAAATTACATGTATTGTGCGAGCAGTGATACCTTGGCCGTGAAAGCTTTATTTGTGGCTTTAAAAAATAACAACTTATTTACTAAGACAACAGCTGCACAAGATTATAGATCTACGTTGTTTGGTCCATTGGTGTTGTGCTTTAATACAATGGGTGTGCTGGTATTTGCGTACTTGTTTATCCTTTCATTCGTATTGTTTTGACTAATAAAGGACAACTGTTCAGCAAACGTTTCACATGAAATCGACACACACATACACACACACACGCACACACACACACGCACACACACACACACA